ATCCACACGCACTCTTGTACCCAAATATTTGTAGTCAGGGAAACTGTCAACTGCATGTCTGCATAAACATTACACAACTAGATAGTGTTAGTCCTGCAAGATTACTCTAAATAATATGTAACGTGCCACGAACAAATATATGAAAGAGTCTCACACAAAATTCTCATGCAATGTCCCAATCTCTGGATGGTTTGGGAATCTAGTGACAAGATTCACAGGGAACCGAGCAGACCTGCCTCAAAAAATATGATAAAGCCATGTCTCAATTGATACAGATAAATAAATGAAAACAGAGGTAAGGAGATATACAACAAAAAAAAAAAGAAGAAGCAGAAGTGATAAATAATTAAATACAGAGCAAAATAACACAGCACAAGATAGCCTACCTGTACACATTCCACTTTCCTGTTTGTAACTTTTCAGGAAGGACTACACTATACTTTTCACCTACAAAAGTAGAAAACACAATGTTGTTTGATCACATATTCCCAAAGATTATAGACTGATACATTATGTACCTGAATATGAGTGTATGATATCACATCGATATGAAATTAAGAAAGACAATAGTCAATAGCAACTTTACTTGTTGTAACACATCTCTGTAACTTGAAAATATAACTTCAAAAAATTTCACAATTCCAAATATCTTTAACTGCATACAAAAACATCTGTAAACTAGAATAATTTAAATCTAGTTATTTTCTTTATCTCTCCCTCAAATTAGTAATGTCATGTTCAGCTCTGACATCAGCTATGTCACCTATGCGTGTTGTTTCCAGCACAAAGATCTTTGACTTTATAATACTGAAAATAATTCTTGTATGAAATTGTACAGAGGTAAGAACAACTGACAACAAAATTTGATAATATGAAGCATTATTTGCCTTTCCAATTTTCCAAATCACATAGGTTATAGCCAGAAATATGGCTACAATATTTTGGCCATAAATTATATATTCTCCCTTTGATTCCTTAACCATTTGATTAAACCCCATGCACAGGTGTTGTACAAAGCCAATTGGCATCCACAGTCCACAACAATTGGCCTTGTGTGAATACTGGGAAAATACATTGCTAAAAATTCAAACTTCCAGTTAATCCTACATAAGGTATTGCATTTTCCATAATTTTTTTGATACCCTGGGAAACTTGCCACTGAGAATCTCCTTGTTCACTAGGATTCCAATCATAATTGCTTAACTGAAGAGCTCCACTACCCCCATACACTGACATTGACAAAAGCAAGCCTTAAACAACATCTTCCAACAGAATCAAAACTCGTAACAGTCATAAACGCTTTGTTCGCCTAATAATAAGTCCAAACTTTGCCAATGGAAAGAAAATCCTCTGACGTCATTCACCTATCTATATTAAAGTTCTAACTTCTAAAAGCTAATATCTTGAATAAAAAGCGCTAGCATTTTTGAAGAAAATGCTTTTGACTGAAAGTTCAAATTGGAAAAAAGGTAAAAAAAAAAAAAAAGGGAAGTTTAACAAACTCTACAAATGGAAATTGAGCCAATACATATGCTCAAACTTTAACCAATAGATTGGATGCTGTTTAATAATTACATACTAATAAAAGCTTAAAAGTAATAAGCTCCCTGTAGGAGTGTAGGATGATTCAACATAGAATGTACAGTCAATTTCACATTTCCAAATGGACCAAATCATATAAAGTCCAAAAAAAATTAATATTCATTATCTCCCAATAACCGGGCAGTACATTCAACTCAGAACAATTAATCCATAAAACATTGTTAATGGTATCTTGAAAAAGGCATAAAGCTAGCCAATTAACCGTAATCAATAACAAAGCACATATTCCAAACAATAAGTAAAGCAAATTCCCAGAAACTACGAGTAAAAGCCAAATTCCAGAAACCCCAGAAAAAGTAACCTAACAAACCATCAACAGAAAATCCCAAAAACAATATAACCCAATTAGGAACAACCAATCAAGAATCTTAACAATACAAATTCTCCCCTCTTTCACTTTCCAACTACTTGTTTATAACATACAGTGAAAATAACCCAATCACATGATCCAATCAATCATCCAAGAACCTAAAAAAAAAAAAGGGGTCCCAGTTTATTCAACTCCATTAACTGATTAACAGAATACTTCAAAAGGGTATGGAAACCCTTTTTTCCCAACAAAAAGATTGCAACTTTAAATGCACCCACAAAAATATATATATTCATAATTCATTAAATACTATGGTAGATCAAATTAGAGTGAGAAAAACAAGAGAAGAGAGAGAAACCTTGGTAAAATTCTCCAGCAGTTTGACTGCGGATGATAGTGGAGTTTGGATCATCGTCAATGGAAAGAGGAAGAAGGTGGGATTGAATAGCTTGCAACCGACGTTGAGCAGGAGTCTCCATTGATGCTGTTTTGAAGCTTTTCTGCAACTGGGTGATTGTAAAGATTGAAACTTTTTTATGCTTTTAATTTTGATTTAATTTTATTTTGTTTAAACTGTGAAATTTTAGTGCAATAATAGTAATAATATTGATCAGATCAGAGAATTTGAGGGTGAGGAGGAAAGATTAGGATTTGGGGCACGCAATTCAAAGGGGGTGATGTCTATAATCATATAAATTTATAACCAAAAAATAATTTTGCCCACCAAAAAGTCCAATATCACGGATAAGGAAGAAAAGGTTGGAATTATTGATTTTTTGTCATGTTTTCAAGGGTTTTTTTTTTCTTTTTTTTTCCTCCTCCTTTGAAATTAGTTAAGGGGTCACTTTTAATTTATTTTTTGATTTTTATTTTATTAATCACTTGTTAACCATCTTTGGCTAATGTCCACTAATAAAAATTTGGCTTTCACCCACATAACATGATAATTTTTGTTGTGAATAGTTACAAACCTAATTAATGTATAATTCGTATTAATTAAGCAACTTTAGTTGGCAAAAAAAAGTCTAATTTTTGTAGGGTATTGTGATTGTCTTGGTTGGTGTAGGTTGCAATTAGTATGAGTGGGAGGAGGGTAGGAGAAAAAGAGTGAAGGGGATTAGTCAATTAAGCTAAATAATTCAAACTGTTTAAACATGGGCATTTTGGGTACACAATTATGCGGCTTGAGTGTGTTTTGTATCATTATGCGGCTTGAGTGTGTTTTTCTTTTTGCCGTAATTCGTAGCTTAATTAGATGTAATTAATTATAAATTATGCTATATTGCTGATTTATATTGGAAAATTATCAATGATACACTCCAAGTTTTGACTTTTATCTTTAATACACATCATTAAACTTTGATTATCAGCGGTACACCTAAACTTTTTCCTAATAAATTACAATAACTAAAACATTAATTAAACGTTTAATAGGTATAATGAGAGGGATTTTGCGATGACTTGACTTGACTAAATTGCCCCCTAGTCATTAACTCTCCCTCCAAGCCCAACTGTCAACATTAAATACAAAATTTTGATCGTTCGGCTCCTTCACTCTCTCCCCTATTCTTTTCTTCCCTAAAACCCTAATTGACGCTCGAGTGAAGCAAAATTCTTGGAGATTTAGCGATACTTTGTGGATTGTAAAAGGTTAGTGCTGATTTCTGTTTGTAATTGGTTTAAATTGTTAGGTTATAGTTAATGTATGTATTTTCGTTTCATTTGTTGGATTATGAGTTCAAGTTGTAATTGTGGTTGGATTTTACTCTTAATTATGCTCGATTTGCATATGATCATGTTTGCGTGCTTAATTTTGTATTTTTGTACATGTATAATTCGATATGGGTGTGTTTGTGTTTGTATGGTACAATGTTACTTTTTAAATGTTTAACCTAGGTTTAATTATGTGTTGTTCTTAAGTATGTGATGTTTTGTTGTGCTTAAATTGTGGTAGTTTAATCTAATTTTGCAGAATGAGTAATAATGTTGTATTGAGATTTCAATATAAGGTGCATAATGTTGATATTGAAGTGGAATCTGATACTTGCAACCTAATGGATATAATGATAGAATTTGAAGGTCGGTTACGTAGTTTGGCAATAGTTATATTGAATCCTATATTTGGTTATGCATATAGAGGCAAACATTGGCCATTAGATGATGATGGTGGTTTAATTAGGATGTTTAATACGTTCCCTAATGCTGACATGATTGAGTATAGGAGGAAAAAAAATAGCTCTAGAGCTTCAACAACCACAACCTGCAAATGAACCACCACCTCCACCTCAAAATCAACCGTCACCTCAATCTGAACCTTCTGACCAAGCAGGTTAAATAATCAAATTTAACGTTTAATTAACGTTTTAGTTACTGTAGTTAATTAGGGAAATGTTTAGGTGTACCACTGATAATCAAAGTTTAATGATGTGTAACAAAGATAAAAGTCAAAACTCGGAGTGTATAATTGATAATTTCTCTTTAATTTACTAAATACTTCATCCGTTTCTTTTTAGTTGACACGTTTCTTTAGTCACGTTTGGCAATATACAAATTTAACCATTAATATCTTTAATTACCAATAAACAAAAATTATGAAAAGTTAATATTTTGAAAATATAAATCGTAAAGAATCTAACAAGATCCTACATGACTATATTTTTCATTACGTACAAATTTCAAAACATAGTCAAAGGGGAGTGTGTGAAACGTGACAACTAAAAAAAAAACGGAGGAAGTAATTAATTGTAAATTATTTCTCACAATGAAACCAAAACCATTATGTTACTGATAACTTTGACTCCATTTTGCCTATAACGTAGCTAGTCATTTGAAAGACAGTCGACAAAAATAAGTCTAGGTAATATTTTTTTTGTCCTCGTAGCTCTACTTGTTAGATTCATACACAAATGATTTCTTATGTGTTAAGAGATATTAGCAAATTTAAGCCCGTAGTACTTTGCCGGTCCTCATACACAAGTGCTTTGCCATTTTGGGACCATGGTGCAACCTACAAGGCTACAACCTAGGACTCTATCCAGATTTAGCTATCACTATAATATAGAATAGCTAAATAATTACGTGACAATAATTTTAAACTGAGGGAAATTTTCTAAATAAATAGATCACCAAAAGGAGTTTTCTTCTACCAAAGGCACATACATTGAATTAGAGTATTTGACTAACTTAATCTCCAAAAATTAGCCAAATGACCAACACGCAAGGAGAGCCAAATTGCCTAAATAAGTTGTTTTGTTTCACCATCTAATGTTGGAAAGGAATTACATGTATCAGTGACATATTACATCTAGCTTTTCCCTCTTCTGTAAGACATGAGCTTTTGTCTTACTTGGTTTCAACTCTTCTAGTACTTCTACCTCAACCTGCACAAGTACATGGACTTATTTTAGATGAGAACAACACCACCTAAACCACCAAAAAATCTGTTAAGAGATTTGCACAACTATATAGATAAGAGGAAGGCATATCACATATTTATAAAATCTGCTGAAAAAATGTTTAGTTTACATCACCTCTGACCTCCTACCTTTCACTAAAATAGAGCGATTGAATTCTAATAATAATAAATCTAATTCTTAAAAAAAATGGTAACAGCTGCATATCTTGCTCTTTTAATTATGTTATCATAATGTTCTTGCCCGGTCTATCCATGTTGCCAATTTTTAAAATAGAATTACTAATAAAAAGTAAAATTAATCAAAAGTAAGCTAAGAAAATTATTACAGTTGGAAATGGGTTGGGCATCGCAAGCCAACCTAGACCAGGAAAGAGGAAGAAGAAGAAAGGAGGTGACCATATTATTAATCCAAGTAACCCAAACGCAATGGTTCAAATTGTAATAATAGCAAAACACACGACAAAACACATACCATAATAAGGAATCATCATAGTAATGCTTATTATAATTGTATGCGTTTATTATGAATAGATGTAATTAAAATAGTTTATGCTAGGTATAGTAATTAATGAATCACCATAGTAATGTTGGGTCTCTTTTTTAGAACCATTTGCAGACATAACAATTCTAGTCCTAAACTTTTAATCTCATTGACTTGTTCTTTTTTTCTTGCATCCTGCTTACTATCATTAGTTTTTCACATATATAAGAGATAAAATACAGGCAATTATTATTATTTTTTTTTTTACCTCAATCAGGGTCCAATCTTATGCAAGAATGCAAATAAGAATATATAAGATTAACAAAGTAAAGAGGAGAGAACTATTGCAATTTCTTAGCATGTACCCCAAGATACTTCTCGACTCCTTTAAACATAGGTAATATAACAACATACTCTGTATTGTCTGACACATATACAACCTGGTATGCATGACGCTTATCATTTCAGCCCACCCTTCCCTCTTCCTAAACTGCCTGGTCGGTGGATCAAAAAAGTCCGAGCATGGTGCTCTTCGACCAATAACAGATCCAGTACCCTTCACAAATCCTCCCTCTAAATAAACAGATGAACAAATTGATTTGGATAATGTAAGTAGTGAGTAACATTTGTAGCTGAAAACAGAAAAAATGAATTAATGAATAATTTACCAGTGTTAATGATAATGACTCCCTTAATCAAAGCAGAAAAAACTAAAGATAAAATTCTAGATCCCAATTTAGAAGATAAAAATCACACAAATTTTCAATTAAAATAACTACTCTATTCAAAACCCTAAAATGAAGGCTTTTCCCCCAAAAAATAGTAAAATTGATCATCTGAATTCCACATATAAAATAAAAATTAAATTCACAAAACATGCATTATACCATGATTAACAGTAACAATAAGTAAGGTTACTGAAATCACCAAAAGTATCTGGGATTTCACTCGCAAAGTCACAATGTCTTTATTACTTCCCACTCTAATCACCTCAAAACTGCTTTATTTTCCTAACTCAGTGAGACTCTAATCACCTCAAAACTGCTATTTTTTCCTAAGAGAATCAAGGGTAAAAATACCTCCAAGCTAATTATCAAACAGGAACAACTTTTCAAACTCAACCCTAAATTACCAAATTAGGTTTCTCGGCATAATATATGATTATAATTAATAGTACGATCTTTCATATCTTCACCGACTACAACTGTTAGTTCAAGGATATAACTTAGAAGAACCCTAAGTTAACTATACTGACAAATAAAGTAATGATGAGCTTGAGATTGTGCAATTTGGTGATTAATAAACATGTTAACCTTAAACTAATCTCGAACTTTAAACCTGAGATCAAAACTTTGGAGTAATAGCTAGTAAAAAAATGTTTCTGGATTGCTATCAAAACGAAAAATGAATTGTTGTCATATTAACAAATCTATCATATTATAAAAAAAAAAAATTATTTCAAAGTGATCTCTATGTCCCAATGTATTAATATTGCATATTCCCTCCTTGCCTCCTTCACTCACTCGCCTTTCATGGTTGTGAGAAAATTAAAAGGCTCCTAAAAGATTTATGTCTCTCTTCCTAATTTACATTCTAAAATGGTCTCTTAAGGTACTCCCCAATTCTTCCTCTGCTCCTCCTACTTTTTTTCTTACCCCATGTTCTCTCCCTCTCCTCTCTACTTTCCCAAATTAATGGTTGGAAATTTATTTGATTTCCACGTAGAAGAAATACTTGTCTCAAGCCCTTACAAGCTTTTTCTCAAAAATTATTAGATGAGCTCTCTCACTGCATTTCTCATAAACTATCCTAAACAAATCTCTTTCAGAACTTGAGTAATTATAACCAATAGTTGAATAATCCACCATAGAAGAACCTTATCGAATTATTGTGAATCTAAGATCATACTAGCTCAAGTGAGAATAGATTAATATCTATGTTTTTTTTTTTTTTTTTTATGTAAATCTAAAACTATACTACCACTTTTCATTTACCACATAGAACAAAAATAAACTCCATATCACTTGCTCCACCTATTGCCTTTACTTCCCTTTCCCCCTACTCTTTCTATTACCCGAGTCTTTTATGGTTATGAGAAAAAGTATTTTAATATTGATTATTGATTACTTCCTCTTTTTATAATTGACCTCCTCCAGTGCTCCATATCTCTTTCTCCCATCTTTCTCTCGCACCGTCACCATCACATTTTCCTAATCTCCTTCTAATCGTACCCTTTTTTTCCCTCATCCGCTGCCTCTCTCTTACCCACTTTGCTCCCTATACTTCTCTCCCTTTCACTCTTCTATTATAGTCTTGATAATACAGTTCGTCATACTTGCTCCCTCACCCCTCTTTGCTCCATTTTACTATCCCCCCTCTCATCTATCTTATATGGTCATGTGTAAAATATTTGCTTTTTAATATTTTATATTATTGTCATGTCATTAAAAGATATTTTATATTCTATAACAATCTCCTCAAAGCGCTTTAATTTTCATATATCATCTTAGCCTTCACCTATGATGAGAGCCAGAAGAAAAAGTAATGCACAATGGAAGCAACATGCTTCAACAATTAAATATGAACTTACCAGAAGCCCCCCACCACAAGCAAGAAATGCAAGCTAAATTTCTTTAATCGTGAACACATCCATAATACTGAGTTTTTTGTTTTGTGTTCCTCCTCAGCAGCAACAACAAGCAGATCAAGCTCGTCTTCCAGCCTAAATGGGTCATAAATCTTTGAGAGAACCTCAGTGGCCTGGATCTTATCTTTCTGCAAAATAGCAAATATTTATCCCACTTAATATTTCTCAAAGTTCTTAAAGCAAGAATAGCTAAAGGTGATTTGAATAGGCTTTTGACCTTCATATAGCCAGCAGGGAGATTCTGGAAAAAGAAGCATAAAGAGAAACTGCAAGACAGCAGGGACTCTTGCTCAACAAACACAATGCAGCTTCCATTTATTTTTAATTTTTTTTTTTCTAACAAGAGGCTCAAATCCACATTTCATCAAACAATCCAGTGGAGAATTTCGAGGTGGTAAAATCAACCATGGTGGCAACCAATCAAATTAGGGAAAATAATTTCCAAATTCCAACCAAACCAAACCACAAAATAAAAATAATACAGTACTTCGTGTAGGATAAACCAACAATTGATCTTTCTGCCAAGCCAAATGGAAAAAATTACCCAAAACCTCAAAAAAATTTCCAAACCTAGATTAAATTTGACTACTTTGAATGGTGTATACTCGTCACAGCCTTTATGGTTGATGATTTTTTTTGGTTAGAAGATCAAGAAGCATGCAGTCAGTAAAGTTACACAGTCACAACACACAGAGACAGATAAAGCAGCTAAGGTTCTGGCATCCGATGGTTCGAGGACCGTTTTAATTGTGTCTGGATAAATCCCTGGCGAAAGACAACCATCGTAACCAATGGTCATCTAAGGAGAGGGGCAAAATGGTCCTGGAAACTCCAATGACCTCTCCCTGCCTCATTCTTGTTATTAATCATTGATAAACCCTAGATTATGAAACTGATATTCTCTGATTAACAAAAACATCTCACCTCAAAAGCTCCTTCAATAGAGGAGAGAAAGTTCACAAAGTCACATGCCATTTCAATGGAGAATTCAGATTACTTCAATGGAGGAAAGATTGAGAGATAGGGCACAAAGCATTCATTCACCTTACCTCTCATACATCATCATTGCATTATATAAAGTATTAAACAAATTTTATAAATTACCTTTGTGCTCAATTATCTGAAAGAAAATCATTAGAAAAATATTCCTCAAAGGAATTTGTGAATTATTTTTAGCATGCAGATCATCAGTCACAACACTAAAAATTCATTTATTATAGCTTGTATTTGACTATTATCAACCATGTTGTCACCATACACAGAACCCATTCTCTCCACATTAGCTGTCAAACTCGCATTATCCATTCAAATTACATGAAGTCCTCACATTACCAGTTCGAATTACACTATCAACATAAAGTCGTGAATATTAACCCCGGACATCTACGCTCCTTACCTTAACCATTTATAATTGTAACCCTGTGATATAATGAGCTGCTGATAACTGGTCCAATCATCAATTATTTTAGTTCCAAGTATTCTGCCAGTCTATTGATTTTTTCCAAACAAAATGGTCCAATATCTTACTCTAATTAGCATTTATACCTCATTACAAATTTGTGCTGATTTAATGGCAATGGTCCTTATCGTGTTGCATTTTAGCATTTTATCAGTTGCAATTATCTACGTTTATTACACCCTTTTTATTGTTATTTGTCCTATCTTTTTATTATTTAAAAGATCATGAAGTAAGTTTAGGAGTACACTCAAGTTTATGAAATATATATCATCCTTTGAGTAGGGAAGCAAAGGATTACCTTGAATGTTAACCCAAACTTCTAGACTTGTGTGTGTCAAGGTTGTACTCGGCTACTGTCACCGTCGTACACGGCTAAAGCAGTATGACTCAATATTTAAATTAGAGGAACACGTTGACTGGGCTCGATTCCTGCAAACAGGATCTCCATTCCTCCACAATGTATCGAAAATTAACCATAAATAACCAGCTAATTCAAAATTAGCACTTGCTAAAAAAAATAGTTCAACAAAGTGATAAGATAACTAAAATTCTTGTTAAAAAAAAATTGGCTGGTTATCAAGCGTTTGAGATACCTGCAGTCTCCACAAAATAGTTTACATATTCCGAGCTCGAAAGTTCACTATAAAGATCTTCTCCAAATGGCTAGTATAGCAGGCAGAGGAGGTGCGTAAAGCATAGCTTACTACTGAAGGAAGGGGAGGTCAGAGTTGCTGCAGCTTAGTTGTATCAGGGCTAACCGACAAATGCAAGGGCTACCTATCCAAAATCCTACAAATACAACAATCAAATAGATTCAAACTTCAACATTTCACTTATTCATTGACATATATAATTCCTATTTTCTAGAACAGTACCCCAATCTCAGCAGAACAAGAGGTAATAAATTAACAGAAAAATTTCACCCAAAATTATCAATACTTTTGACTATATAGGCAAGAAATCTGAATTAACTCAAGCATCACTAACTCACTCCTATTACAACAATAATTTAATCATAATCACACTAAGCTCAGATCTGCCTTAGTTATTTGATTAAATTACGTGCTCTTGGAATTATAATAGTAAAGAATTTGTCTTTCTGCAGTATATTAGAGGATGTTAACTTTTACTTCGTATTCCACATTATTTTGCTGTGTTTATGCTCCATGGAAACAATGATTATGATAGTAAAGAATTTGTCTTTCTGCAATAGATTAGAGCTTGTAAACTTTTTATTTAAACATTATTTTGCTGTGCTTTTGCTTCATGGTAACAAATTTCATTTGAGATCCTTCTCTCCAAATAGAAAAATTATTCAGGGATTTCAAGAAGGAAGGAAAATTGGTGCCATCCGAGGTTGTTGTCTACGTTCTGTATTTTTTGCTGATTAAGTGTCAAGAAGTAAAAACCAAAACCTTTATTTTGAACAACTCAAAAAGCACCCCTTTTTCTTCTCTGGTGCTGACCGTCTGACCCTTCTTCTACATAATTATACTCATTAATATCATTGTACTTCCACTTTTATTTCCTTAATCACCACATTTTGCATCAACCATGCATTCCCTTTTTCCTTCTTTTAGCATACAAATTTCCATTTTCATCTTATTTTCACTAAAAAAAAGAGTCTTAAACCTGTATCATTATAAATCCCACTTCTCAAAATTCTCATCCTTTTCTGATTCAGACAATAAACCATCATTAGTCCATAATTTTTCATCTTTATTCACAGAAATCACATGATATTAATGAGATCCAGAAGAAAACGTAATGCACAATGGAAGCAACATGCTTCAACAGTTGAATTTGAACTAACAAGAAGCCCCCCACCAACAGCAAGAAATGCAAGCTAAACTTATTTAATTGTGAACACACCAATAATACTGACAACTTTTTGTTTACGTTCCTCCTCAGCAGCAACAGCAAGCAGATCAAGCTCATCTTCCAGCCTAAATGGGTCATAAATGTTTGAGAAAACCTCAGCGGCCTGGATCTTTTCTTTCTGCAAAATAGCAAATATTTAACTCACTTAATATTTCTCAAAGTTATCAAATTAAGAATAGCTATAGATGATTTGAATAGGATTTTGATCTTTATATAGCCAGCAGGGGGATTCTGGCAAAAGAAGCATAAAAAGAAACTGCCAAGCCATTGATCTTTCTGCCAAGCCAAATAATATAGTATTTCGTATAGAATAAACCAACAATTGATCTTTCTGCCAAGCCAAATAGAAAAAATTACCTAAAACGTCGAAAATTCTCCAAACCCAGATTAAATTTGACTACTTTGAATGGTATGCACTCATCACAGCCTTTAATGGTTGGTGATTTTTTTGGTTAGAAGATCAAGAAGCATACAGAAAGCAAAGTTACAATCACAGCTTATAGAGACAGATAAAGCAGCTAGGGTTCTGACATCCAATGGTTCGAAGACCGTTTTAATAGTGTCTGGATAAATCACCAGCTAAGGACAACCACCGTAGCCAATGGTCATCTAAGGAGAGGGGCAAAACGGTCCTCGAGAAACTCTCATGGCCTCTCCCTGCCTCATTCTTGGTATTAATCAACGATAAACCCTAGATTATGAAATTGATATTCGCTGATTAATAAACATCTCACCTCAAAAGCTCCTTCAATAGAGGAGAGAAAGCTCACAAAGTCACAAGCCATTTCAATGGAGAATTCAAATTACTTCAATGGAGGAGAGATTGAGAGATAGGACACAAAGCATATTCATTCACCTTACCTCTCATACATCATCATTGCATTATATTAAACAAATTTTATAAATCACCTTGGTGCTCAATTATCTGAAAGAAAATCATTAGAAAAATATTCATCTAAGGATTTGTGAATTTTTTTTTAGCACGCAGATCATCAGTCACATTCAAGAAAATAGTGGAAATTTCAATCTTTTGAGGTACCCTAATAGATTTAATAATATTTACAACACTAAAAATCTATTTTTCTTATAGCTCGTATTTGACTATTATCAGCCATTTTGTCACCATATACAGAAAGTCTTAAGGTAAAGCTAATTTCAATTACCGATTGATAAAGTATGAGTAATCGTTACCCCAACTTCTCACTAATACTCACATCAAAATAGAGACTCAAATCTTATCCCTAAATCAGTGTCAGAAAAGGGCTTGAATATAAGAGGGGAGGATGTCCGCCTTCCAGGCTTCTAACCTGGTTGCTGATAGCCATTTTCTGGAATTCATCTCTCTCCTACTGCCTCTTCTCAATTTGTCCTTTAAACCCAGCTCTTGCCTTGGCTTCCTAAACATATGGAACCTGAAATCAGCACAATTACAAGCAAATTTTAGTAGACAGTGTCACTTCAATAACGTAATCATATATGAGCAAGCTCCCAACATGCCAGAAAGTCACATTAACATGCAACTATAACTTCCATACCATCCAGAGAAAAAGTGTTGACTCCTCTGTCATACTCAGCCCTTTATTGGAAACAGCATGAAAAGCAACTCTTTCTTTCTTTTCCTTTTTATCTTTGGTAGAAGAAAAGTGACATATTTGTGGAAGAGTCAAATTATAAAATGTGGGCTACGAGAATTACTTGTTATAGTATAGCATAATAAAAAAGGAGTTTTAAATAGGCAGCATCATCATTCTAATTCTCACAATTTCCCTTTCTGATCATCATCGTTTTTTTTTTTTTTTTTTTTACACTTTTTCTTTTGAACGATTCATCATTTCATCTGCTCATATGCAGTATTAAAGCATGACAGTATATAAAAATATAATTAAGACATTTTATGCACCAAAATAATTATATATATATATATATATATATAGGGGTGGGATCATGTGAGAACCAAGGCTTATATGAGAACCCTCTTAAAATAAGAACCAATCTTACACCATCAATTTTGAGATTATGGATGGCTGAGATTAATTATAACTTTCCCATGCATTTTCTTGGGAACACGCATTTCAGTCATTGGTACATGCTTTTTAATTTTCTTGGGAACACGCATTTCAGTCATTAGTACATTTCACACATATGGTGTGGAACAATGTATAATATTTATGGGACAATAGTTCATATTTCTGGAACAATATAAATAATATTCGAATGAAATATTATATGTCAATGATTTTTATGTATAAAACAAAATCAATAGTATATGAAACAATACATATATTTTATGGAACATAAGTAGTATAAAATGAAACATAAGGTATGTTTTTTGAAACATCAATAAGGTATAAGAAATCACAGTAAACCTAGTTCATATAGAGCCCAACTATATGAAACAAGCAATAATATATATGAAACATTAATATTATAAATTGAAACACTTGATATATTTTACGAAACATCATTAATGACGTACACTTCAACTACATTTTAACGTAACGTTCGAATTTATGTGAACCTTGCATTTTACTGAACAATCTATTGGTTTTCCAATGCAAATTAACGTGTTTCAATGCAATAAATAACAAAAAGCATATAATAATGACAGCTTTTGATAGATTTTGTGTCCCAATACAAAAAACAATATCATTAGTATATGAAACAACAAATATATTTTATGGAACATAAGCACTATAAAATGAAACATAAGGTATATTTTTTGAAACATCAGATAAGGTATAAGAAATCACAGTACACCTAGTTCATATAGAGCCCAACTATATGAAACAGGCAATAATATATATGAAACATTAATATTATAAATTGAAACACTTGATATATTTTACGAAACATCATTTACGACGTACACTTCAACTACATTTTGTGTTTCAATGCAATAAATAATAAAAAGCATGTAATAATGACAGCTTTTGACAGATTTTGTGTCCTAATGCACAAAAATTAAAAAAAAAATACAAACAATCATTACAATTAATGAAGGTGGCCCACGTGAATTTCCACTAATGAAACAATAAATCTGAACCATTCATCTAATAAAAATGAATGGTGTTAGATGAGTTCTCATTTTAAAATGGTTCTCACCTAAGCCATGGGTTCTCACATGATCCCATTTCTATATATATATATATATATATATATATATATATATATATATATATATATATATATATATATATATATATATATATATATATATATATATATATATATATATATATATATATATATATATAAGGATTCCAATGGACATCAAAGAGTGAAATAAGCAGATCCATAACAAAGTCCATAGATGCAAAAAGTTACGTATATGGTGGCAACATCAGTTGTTGATGGCTTCAGGTCTAGGCCAATCCAAAACACAACATGGCTTTATCATACATGTTTTCTTCTGCTTATAGATCTTACCAAAAATTAGAGAAACTCGATCAAAATTTAACATGGATAATCAAGAAATCTAAAGCATGACAATATCATTGAAATCAAAAGCATAAGAAACTCAAATCAAATCTTTTCTTATGAAACACGGAGAATCAAGAAATCAAATCAAATACAGCAATAACTGGAGCAGCAAATAAGATATCATTGTTTACAAAAACTAACAACTGGATTATTCACATTTCCCAACTATTTTAATGCTCTTTTTCTTTCTTTTTTTCTTTATATAATTTATAACACTATGATTATGCATTTTCATAATCCTCCCTAAATAGCTCAACATTCATCAGTAAAAATGACCATGTATACCCTTATAGAGGATAACATGAGCATATTAGTATTTCAGAAGTGGACTCATGTTCTAGATTATATAATTTGGCTAATTCTTCAATGTAATTTCCTAAACTACTGGAGAGGTATCTTCCATTGTTCCATAATTTAGCTTTCACAATACACCAAGCAAGCTATAGTTCTAAAGAGGATTAAAGAAAAAGGTTAAAGACTTAAGAGTCAAGGAAGAAAGCAACCTCAACCTAGGATCCCGCAAAAGGTCAGATTGTTTTTGCAAAACCACTTTGGAATATTGGGCAAGGGACTGCATTCCATCTTCAGGCCTAGTTAAGCTAGGAACAATGTCGACAACTTCCCTTTTCACCTGCATAAAGATCGTTATATTAGAACCTTCAGGTTGTATCCAAGTAACTTAGTTTACACATATACATTGGGTATTTGGGTACCCTGAACTTTCACAAGTCACCTGACAACAGAAGACATGGATGTTAAAAACAAATATTAAATTAGAATAGGGTTAGAATTCACAAGTCACCCAACTAAAAAAGTTGTGCTATCTATTTAGTTCACATATCCATGTCTTCTGTGGGGTAAAAATTTCTCTTGTGCCAGAAAAAGAGAGGAACTTACACAAAGGCTTGGATTTGGCTTGCCTTCACACTAATTATATAAATCAAAGAGCTATAATTAGAGAATAGAATATAAAGTGCGTGCAGCTCGTACTTATTCCACTAATGAAAGTGCAACACTTAAGCTAGAGAATACTGGAGTTTTTTATTGCTAGTCTGCTACCATCAGAATAAATTAAAAGATATTTTCTTTTCTCGATAGCCTTGGCCAACAAACCAAGGCTTGCAAGGTTAGTGCTTATAAACCTTTACAGGGTTGTATATAGATGTGAAAGTTTATGTAAATACATGTGATGTTGTTGAGTATGGTAACACTCGTTGTACCTATCAGTGGAGGAAATTGCAAAATTACTATTTTCCTCAAGTAGATGACTGCATATTGTTGATAAGTATTGTTGACTTGGTGCTTATAATTTTTTGGCTCCATTGCCAGCCCATACTTTGAATTCTTTGTGTCTTTAGCAAATTTGTTTTTTATTAATTAGATTTATGTTCAATTGCTAATTTGCAAATTTTGATCTTTTCAACCTATTATTGTGTTTGGTGGGAAATTTCAACATCTTAAGCAGATTCAGATAGATGGTAGTTTGGCCTTGTGTGTAGCTTCCTTGTCATCTTTGAGGGAAAGGTAACGTTAATGGGTCTTGCATGAGAATAAGGTATGATAATGTCCGCAAAGGTATTACAATTAACCAAGAATTATAGATGATACCGAATCAACTCCTTTAAATCATAAAAAGATGCTTAAAACTCTCTAAGCCATTCACAAGACTCTAGCCAATAACTTTCATATTACAATTACAAGACATGTACACACTGCGTGCACTCACTATTGTCTCACCCAGTCACTAATTCTCTCATCTCTTTGTTATCTATGAACACAATCTTTAAACAATAGTCACCCCCATGCACACACAGAGCCTACCAATTTGTTGGTCCGGGCAGAGCCAAGGAGGATTTATATATGAACCCAAAAAAGTATGGAACATATATGAACTTTGCAAAACATATTACTACACATTTCTACTCATTTTTCCTCATATATATATTTTTAATTAGTGGGCAGAAGCTTGTAAGAAATACAAGTATATAGTCAATATAGCAGTGAATTTAAAATTTTATACGAAATAGCACGGATTTTTTTAGTTGTGAATAGGATTAGAACATAATACAACTAAATTAAATACCACAACTAAATCTCACACTAACTCACGAATCTCACAAGCAAACAATACAACATTCCCGTTATATTAATATTTTAAACATCACACGACCCTACTCTAATCACAATAAATCAAGATGCTATCAATTTAAAATGCCCCAAATAACATGTCCCCTATAAAATACTCTGGAAAACAAAAATCAATTGACAAATTAAGAAGGAAAAAAAAAAACCAAAAATCATAAACAAAATTGGACCAAGATCAAGTACTAACCCCAGAAAATCATTTTTCTCCTTGATTTCAAGCAGTAGTTGAAGAAACCTTAGATTTTTTTATGAATATCAACATCATTAGAAGGAAGAAGGTTACCACCTTTGATGATCCAACCCAGAGCAAAGAAGGCCCTGCCTGCAAGAATATCAATACCCCAAACATGAGAATACCATATGTTGTATACCTTATAGCAAACCTCCATTGATTTCTCAAAGTTGCAGCATCTGGATTAATGATTCGAGTGCGTTAAATTGACTAAACTAACAAATAAATTAAAGATAAACCCTATAATAATGAAATTGATAGTCGACGATTTACCTCAAAGTTGCTTCAATAATGGAGGAAACCAAATTTGGCATTTTTTTCATTCTCCATTAATCTAACATTGAAGCAACCATTTCAGCCCAAAATAATCTTTTATTCAAAAACCCAAACTTAAGTTCCATATTATAATCTATATAAAAAATTTAAAAAAACCAAATTCAATAATCCAAACCGTTACTCGTAGTTCATCGTTGACAAAAAAAAATAAGAAGTTCTTACCTCAGCTCTTATGGAGGAGAAGAAACTCTTTCAATGGAAATCGGCGTTTCAATGAAGGAAAAAGAGAGAGGAGAGAGAAAAGGAAGATGAAAATCACGAAATATGGAGTACTAAAACCAGAATTGAGTGGAAGTGAGGGAAAAGGGGAAAAGTGTTTGCTGACTCAGCAACTGAAAACCAAATGCATGAAATGAATTTCAAACAAGGCAATTGCCAAAATTTTGCCCAAACAGTGAAATTCATGGACTTAAGACTCATATCACTATTTCTCAAGGATGTTGACCAATTTTGAAGGTTTTCACTTTTGAATGGATTAAGATAAGATAGATAAATTGATGTAATTTTATAATCATTATTATATGCTTGGATATTAGAATATGATGAGCATGTAAAAATTTCAATTGACTGTTTATTGTCTTCCTCCCTGCTATTACGACTATTACGAAACAGAGGGAGTATAAGTCAAGGGGGAGGGAGAGTGAAAAGTTGGTGTCCAACTTTTTAACTACCCAAATTGCCCTTCAAAATCTAATATTGCTAATGTAATGTTCTAATTAAAAATTTCAATCAAGCTACAATAGATAAATTGGAAAAAAGATCAAACATTCAATTAATCAATTTTAATAAAAAAGAAAATTCTAAAGTGGTAAAAAATGGATGTTCTAAAATGGGGAAATAAAAGAAAGAAATTTCTAAAGTGGTAAAAAATGGATGTTCTAAAATGGGGAAATAAAAGAAGAAAAGGTAGTCCTAAAAAAGTTAATTGGATTACCATTATTAAAACAAAAATCAAGAAAAATGGCAAAATTATTAAACAAAAATTTGACATTAGTAATAATAATCTCTAACGTAAGGCCCATAATAATCTCTAACGTAAGGCCCTGTTCACTTCATCACCTTATTTTTGCTGAACTGATATTATTTTTACTAAGCTTTGATTATTTTTTGCTGAATTTAAATTATTTTTACTAAACTGAAAGTATTTTTTACTCCTCTTCAAAATTATTATTTTTACTGAATTGAAATTAATTTTATAAAACTGAACTTATTTTTACCAAACTGAAATTATTTTTGCTGAACTGGAATTATTTAATTTTTATTGAATATTATTTTTTTAAGGTGAAGTGAACAGGGTCTTAGACATGATCGACTACTTATTTATATTTTTCAAGTGAAATAATTAGAATCAACAAAGATTTACCTTTTAATAATGAAGATTTACATGCATCTCCTTTTACATTAGTTCAGATTAAGGCCCCGTTCATTTCACCTTATTTTTGCTGAACTGAAATTATTTTTATTGAACTGAAATTATTTTTACTTGAAATTAATTTTACTGAACTGAAATTATTTTTGCTGAACTGAAATTATTTTTACTGATTTTCTTTTATATTTCTTCTTTAAAGTTACTGAATTTTACAAACAAAACTTATTTTTGCTGAACTGAAATTATTTTTACGAACTTATTTTTACCGAACGGAAATAATTTTTACTTAATATTATTTTTTTAAGGTTAAGTGAACAGGGCCTAAATTAAATTTTAAATAAAGAAGAGCAAAATGGTAAATAGACAACCAATGTAGCAATAATCAAAAATGAATTGTTCATCTTCCTGAGCATCGATTAATTTATTAATTAAGCATTAAACCTGGGAAATTATTTCTGCAAAATTCGCCTCCCCTCCTTTCTCTTCTGAAAAAACAAAACCCAGAAATTTATTCACACCAAAAGCTCTGATCATCAATACCACCAAAAATGTGGCGATGCGTTTCGCGTGGTCTTCGATCCCATTCATGGAAAACTTCTAAATCTTCTCCAATTTCCTCCCATTTTCTCTCTCCTAGATTCTTCTCTTCCACCCAATCTGTAAGATCCTTTTTTTAATTTAAAGTTTGTAACTTTTTTTGATTTTATGTTGTTTTTTGCGATCTTTGAAAATCAATCAACGTTTTTATGATTAATTGATGATTTTTGGCAGAGTTCGGTTGGTGGGTCCAGCTATACGGTGGTAGACCATACTTACGATGCGGTGGTTGTTGGAGCTGGTGGTGCTGGTTTAAGAGCCGCCATCGGATTATCCGAACATGGGTTTAATACTGCTTGTATTACTAAGCTTTTTCCGACTCGTTCTCATACGGTCGCTGCTCAGGTTAATTAATTTGTCCGTTTACCTCGTCTAATGTTTTTATTATATCGCGTGTCAAGAGGGTGTTTTGCAAGTAAAAAAAAAAATAACAAAACCCGGAAAAAGTAATTGTTTTAATTTTTATTTTTAATCTGTTGTGATGTGATTTAATACAAGGGTTTAACTGAATTTGATACAATACAATTACAGTAGCTGCAAGATTGTAAACTAGAATAGGTGCATCCTTTCATGCTTAAGGGATTCTGTTTGTGTTCGATTCGAGTTCAGTGTGGGCAGCTGTAATATTTGTTAGATTTTTGTTGGTTTTGTGCATCTGTGTGTGTTGTGGAAGATAATAGTTGTTGAATGTATTGTAAGTTGAAGTGGGGAATTGGTGCAGGGTGGAATCAATGCTGCCTTGGGTAATATGACTGAAGATGACTGGAGATGGCATATGTATGATACCGTGAAAGGAAGTGATTGGTTAGGTGCGTGCAATTTAACTCATTTCTATTACACTACGAATGCATGTTCTAATTATGAGTTTTGTGATTATAATGAGATGGAAGATTTTTAGCTTCTGATATTAACTTGTCTTATCTCATGTTGGGAATTCGAGGGTACCTGAACTTCTAGTTATTGTTTTAGAGGGATGGCAGGAGAACAGTTGCCTCTGTCTTTGCTCCAAGTAGTGTTTATTTTGGCAATTTTGATTAAATATGGGGAACTCATTTTTCTTTCTGTACTTTTACCTCATTTGGATTCCATTAACACAATTTCAGAATTTCAATGGCAATTTGAGGTCATCTATGGAAAGAATAGCTCCCTTCCCTTTATTAGTGCTGTCCAAACAAGGTGGATTTTTTTCTCCACTGCCCCATGTTGCCTTCCATCTTCCATCCTTCCCCTAGTCCCCCACTCCTAGGCGCAAAAACAAAGTGATTTTGGATTCAAGTAATAGATATTCTAGTATGCTCCTTTATCTATCTATAGCTGAACAGCATCTGCATTTTCATATACGGGAGTACGGGACATCTGTGGTTTCCTAAGTATATATTTTTGGATTGTGTCATGACATATAAGGGAATTTATGTTTGCAGGTGACCAGGATGCCATACAGTATATGTGCAGAGAGGCACCAAAAGCTGTGATAGAGCTTGAGAACTATGGTTTGCCATTTTCTCGTACAGAAGATGGGAAAATATATCAACGTGCATTTGGTGGTCAAAGCTTGAACTTTGGGAAAGGTCTGTGGATAAGACAAAAAAGCTCAAATTCTATTATGGATTGATTTCTAATACTTTCTGCATTGCCTTTCATCTTATTATAGGGGGGCAAGCATATCGATGTGCATGTGCTGCTGATCGAACCGGCCATGCTTTATTGCACACTCTTTACGGACAAGCTATGAGGCATAATACACAATTTTTTGTGGAATACTTTGCATTGGATCTTATTATGGATGATGAAGGCAAGATTATATTATTTATAATCATAATATTTATACTGATTTTTGTTTCAATATCTAATTATTATTAGATGGAAGTACTACCTATGAAAATATGACCTACTTTTGAGCTAGAATTTACCTTTTGGAAGGAAAGCTTTAAATTAATTGAGAATAATCTTGTTGAGACTGAGTTTTATGCTTGGAATAAATTTTTGTACAATATACCTAGTTGTGGTGTTTGCGTGTTATTGCTGAAATCTTATATATTGAAATACCCTTCTTTCGTATAGTCAAGTACTCAAGTTTGATTTGTTAAGTCAAGTTGCAATCCATGATTGAACAGTTTCAATTGTCATCATTTTTTAGAACTTGTGGTCATAATAGGTTAGCATGTTTTTCTTGTTTGTGGTAAATTTTCTGATTTTTGGCATTATGTTCAGGTACTTGCCAAGGTGTGATTGCTTTGAATATGGAAGATGGGACGTTGCATAGATTCCGTGCTAAATCAACAATTTTGGCTACTGGGGTATTTTTTGCTTGTCAAGTTTCAAATTTACCCTATTCTTGCATCATGCCATGTTCATAATTTTCCTTTTTTTTGCTTGTCTTTCCCTTTATTTAGGGATATGGCCGGGCATATTTTTCTGCAACATCTGCGCATACATGTACCGGAGATGGAAATGCAATGGTGGCCCGTGCTGGCCTCCCATTAGAGGTTAAACTCCTTGCCATTGTTTTATTCTCATCCTCTGTTGGTTACTTAGTGGCGCACCAATTTGAGGCAACTCTAACATGATTTGTGCACCTTCTTTAATGTTTTGATATAACAACATATTCGTTTTGCAGGATCTTGAATTCGTGCAGTTCCACCCAACTGGTATCTATGGTGCTGGATGCCTAATCACTGAAGGTTGATTCTTCTCATACTGATTTTTTGTTGCTCTTTCGGCTCTTATGCCTAATCATTCCAAATGAATGTTCAATATCATTTTGTAGTGGAAAAGGCTGTGGTTTTTTTTTTTTTTTTTTTTCCTGAAAATACATTTTGCTAAACATGTACTTTTGTGGCTGCAATAAAACTTTCTACACATCTAACATCTAGATAATATAGGGCAATGGTTCAATGATCTAATGACTTGTTCTTTGTGATCAGGGTCCCGTGGTGAAGGTGGTATTCTGAGAAATAGTGAGGGTGAGCGTTTCATGGAAAGATATGCACCAACAGCTAAAGATCTTGCATCCAGGGATGTTGTGTCTAGATCTATGACAATGGAAATTCGAGAAGGCCGTGGTGTGGGTAAGACGCGTCTGTTCTTCAATTTTTGTGTGCATGATATATACCTAAATATGGAATTGTGGCTGTCAGATATTTAGGTTTAGGGAAAAATCTCCAAGAATATGTTAATCTATCCAGACTGTTGTGGGATACTCATATTTGCTGTTTCTAGAATTCTTAATTTGCACTGTCTATTTATTTGTTAGTCAGATAATGGTTGTGTACACTTTTGACCTCTTTGAAGGCTGTTTGAACGGACTGTTGATCCCCCCTCTCCCCCTTCGAGGTTTACTTTACTAAGTAGTGTGTTGCCACTAATGATTTCAATGAAGCTTTGCAAATGATCGTTTTAGTCACAATTCGTCCTCTTTTACATTTTTGGTCAATCTTACCTGTCATCTGTCACTCATGCTAATCTGATTTCATGTAAATCCTGTCATTAACAGGACCCTTGAAGGATCACATCTACCTCCACTTGAATCATTTGCCTCCAGAAGTGCTTCAGGAAAGACTCCCTGGTATCTCTGAGACAGCTGCAATCTTTGCTGGGGTTGATGTTACAAAGGAACCCATCCCAGTCTTGCCAACTGTTCACTATAACATGGGTGGAATCCCCACAAACTACTACGGAGAGGTAAGAAAACTATGAAATTGATGTTTTTGCAGTTGTATATTTAAGTTTATTGGAATCTAATAATTCTTTGCTCAGGTTGTCACAATAAAAGGTAATGACCCAGATGCCATTGTTCCTGGATTACTGGCTGCTGGAGAGGCTGCTTGTGCATCAGTTCATGGTGCTAACCGTCTTGGTGCTAACTCTCTCCTTGACATTGTTGTTTTCGGTCGAGCTTGTGCCAACCGAGTTTCAGAGATCAGTAAACCAGGCAAGTGGACTTGTGAAGATATTTCTGCTTCTCACTGCTTGTATTCTGATTACTGGACAATTTAGTTCCATCAACATACTTATGATCTGGTATGCTGCAGGGGAGAACCAGAAACCTTTGCCTAAAGATGCTGGGGAGAAGACTATTCAGTGGTTAGACAAATTAAGAAATTCAAATGGATCTCTCCCAACTTCCCAAATCCGCCTAAACATGCAACGAGTAATGCAGAATAATGCTGCTGTTTTCCGCACACAGAGTACATTGGAAGAAGGTATGATATGTTTATGATTCTCCCAAAAAAGGTGCTCTTAACCTGTGAAGCTTGAACCTCTGATATGGTGACCATAACCCCTTAATAAATACACAGAACATTGTGAAGATTCCAGTTAAGTTTTGTTCAAATCTTAATCGAAGCTGGGATGGAATTTAGTTTTAAACATTTTGGTGTATAAGATCACCACTTACTTTTTTGGCATATAGGATCTATTTTCCAGGGGTCTGAATAATTCTACTGTGGTTATAAGCTATGTAGTGCGCACTTTTTCTTTTTAGGGTTTTTAAAACCTTTTTGCCCATGAATGAATAGATGAATTATGGGAAGCGAAGGGAAGGGTTGCTTGAGGTTTTACTGCAAAACAGAAAGGGTTGCATCAGATGTTTCATGCTTCCTGCTCCACTTTAGTTGCAACATTAGGATTTTGGCGCTATTCATACTCCTTCCTATTCCAACATATTGTGATTTACTTATATAACTTTTACCAAAACACAACCAAAGAAATTAATAGTCTAAATCGTGCATTGGCAAGTGTGAAACTCTTAGTGTTGCAAGTAATATGAAGCGGAGTAAGTGAATTTTTTTTTTATAAAATGTCTAATTCAGTGTCCTTTTTATAGATCCTGCGCCCTATTTTTTAATCAAGTCAAACATAGTTTTTCCTCATCCATGAGGACTTGGTTTGCTTTATTATTACAGATGAACTCCATTGCGAATCACAGTTCCAATGTGTAACATTCTGTTTTTGTATAAATTAATTGCAGGTTGTCAATTGATTGATAAAACATGGGAGAGTTTTGAAGATGTTCAAGTCAAAGACCGCAGTTTAATATGGTACGGCTTATATGCAATGTTTTCGTTGATACAAGTTTACTCATGACTATGTCATTAGTAGTCTAATCATTTATCTACTCCATTTTTTTTCTTCTTCTCAGGAATTCTGATTTGATCGAAACCATAGAATTGGAAAATTTGTTGATTAATGCATGCATCACTATGCACTCTGCTGAGGCTAGGAAAGAGAGCAGAGGAGCTCATGCTCGTGAAGATTTCACGGTTTGTTCAGCTGCATTGCTTTAATAATTTATTCTTTTCCTGTAATTTTTGGATGCTCTTGAATTTTTATGACATTTGACTTGATCACTTTGCTTTGCACATTTGCAGACAAGAGATGATCAAAACTGGATGAAACACACTCTAGGGTATGTGATTTACACTATATGCTCTTGTTCTAACTACAAGAATGCTAATGAATATTAAGGCATTAATGATTGATGACAATTAGTTTCCTGAAATACAGTGGACTCCCTGTTCACCGTCTTACTGAGATAAACTTTGTCCGCCCACTTACGTATAGGATCATTATCTCCTGCATGCAGTTTGTTAGTTTACATTCATATTTGTGTCTTGAGTCTTCTCATCTTTTTCTCCACTGCTTCATGATCAAAACAATTAGTTAGCATCATGAATATATAAAGTCTTGCCTTTTTGTCTGCATACAATTGCTTCCTGGTTGTTTTGGTCTTGAATGTCAACATATTAGTATATAATTCTTTATGTTCTTGCATATTTCTTTTGATAATGCAGATACTGGGAGAATGAGAAGGTTAGACTAGATTATCGGCCAGTCCACATGAACACATTGGACGACGAGATTGAGTCTTTCCCTCCTAAAGCCCGTGTATATTGATGTGTTTCAGCTCGAAGAAAACCCTTCGCCAACAAGTAGGGTAAAAGAAGTTAACAATAGAAATAATTTATGATAAGAATGCAGAAAGGGTCTTGGGTGAATTTCATTTTTTCAATTGCTGTGAGGGGTGTTGCCCTTGCGATTTTCGAAACACTTCCTGCAATAATGGTTTTGAGAAAAATTTTGGCCATTAAATGTTTTCGTGATAAGAATGCAGAAGTGGGTTTTTTTATCAACAATTTGGGAATAGATGACATCTGCCTTTTTGTAAACTGCATTAAGGTAATAAGAAGCTCAATTTGTTCTTTGCCTTTGATCTTGAATTTATCTTCTTAACATGCTTTTTTATTGTGTTAATAATTATGTATGGGGTATTCTTTTTAAAACCTATTATGTACGCGAAATAACACTTATTTTTCAATTAGTCACTTAGCTAAGTATTCCTACGTCCTACCATTCCTTCAAATTGGTTGCACTTCACTTATTTTGAGAGTAGTCACTTAGCTAAATTCTAGAAATGCAAAGCAACTGTAGTTAAATAATAGACAATGAAACATTGTGAAGGAAATTCGTCAACAGGATTTGCAATAGTGAAGTTCAATAGTTCTTAGCATTATCCAACATAAATTTTCAAACTTGAGCATCAACTTCCAAGATTAATATTGTTTTTATTTCTGAAGTGAAATAGTGAATAAGGGTCTTAGCAATTGAATTTGCATAATATCTGCTCATTTCAAAGATAACAAGTATTACATATGCTTACCACGTAGTACTTGGCCTAGGGGTTAGATTTGTATTTTACAACTTCGAGGTTGTGACTTGTGAGATCAATTTCTACGAGGGCTACTTTGGAGGTGGGGATTCTCTTACCCTCCCACCACTCTTAAGGTGCCTCACCTACTAAATTGGACCCTGACGAAAGCTAAGCACATTTTCATCTAATACAGTGACCTATCTACAAGAATAAAATACAAGAAAATATACGTTGATACATGGATCTATATCTTTGTTGTAATCTGTCAAGTGACCTAGAAAAGCTATGTAGTATGCAGCTCAAGTGGCTTCCTATATATATGTTGATACTGGACCAATTCGAAGGTTTAAATGTGTTGTTTTACATCATCCATAAGCATTAGTATCTTACACTCTTCCGTGGGTTTCGAATTATCCCTGCAAAATATTAATAAAATAGTAAGATTATCATTTTCAATAAATTTGAGCAAAGTTTGTTTAATACTCTAATAGATTTTCTCCTATAGTTCCGAAACACTTAAAAAAAAATGACCTCAAACTCAAAATTTCATTGTATATGCAATTATCATGCCTCTTTAGGAAAGTTATTCAACCACAAGAAGTAAAAGAGAAAATATAGGGTGATATTTGATAAAATTATGCTGAACTTTTGTATTGGTTAACTATAGGTTAGGGACTAACTGGAGAAGGTACCCTTTTCATATGGGATTATTGGTTAGGGACTAACTGAAGATCGGACAAAATGAAATTATTAGACTATAAATTTCTTACTTTCAATCTTTTTCCACAAAAGTTTAGAATTTCCGTAGCCTGTAAGTTCCCAGACATAAAGTTAGTGAAACTAACCCAGTTACCCCCAGTCTTTGAGGGTGAACTTGTTTTTGTACTTGCACGTCAAGAAGAAAAAGGGCAGAAGAAACCAGTTCATGACTTAACATCGGTAGAATGCTACCTCCAATTTCCTGTAAGTTCAGACTATACCACATTTTGACAACCTTCCACCTTTATTTGTTATCTTTGATGCCCCCTCATCACCCCATAGAAAATATTTGGTGTTTTAGTGGATTAATTTTTTAAAAGGATTCCCACAGCCACATATCCAAAAGCCCAATACACACAAGGTGCAGAGAGAAAGATCACAACTCAGACGCAAGATATATGTGAAAGAAACAACTACTACTATATTTTTAACACATACTTCAGCACTAGTCACTATGTGAGCTCCAGCTTCCTTTGCAGCATGGATGATAGGCGTGATGGGCTAAGGAGACAGAACCCATTCCCCCTTCTATATACCTGCAAAAGGACAAAACATAATTAGCAAATATATATGTATTTTCAGTGTCAGCGATCAATTTTTCTTCATGTACTTAAGCAAGGTGACAAAGCACAAAGGTTAACACAAAGTAATCTCCCCACTATCCTTGCTGATCATTGTTTGTATCACGAATTTCAAATAACTAGGACCTAATTATACGACATTATTCAATGCAATCATATACTGTATTTTGAGTATTCCAGTTACTTCAAAGTAACCTTGCTCGAGGATACTTGCACAAAATCACTGGACATCATAGTGAACATATTCAACCAGCAGGTAAATTTGGGAATATAACTCATTCAAGCAACCCAACAACAAATCCTCAGCTTTATTACCAAAAGGATGGGGTTGGAAGTCATTTTTAAGCTAAAGTAGGTTGTTTTCAGAGGTAAAACTTAAGGTACAGGCGTACAGCTTCGCAAGGTTTGCTTATTGGCATCATAAAGCCTTTAAAAACAAAAATGAAAGCATTTCAGTATAAAAACAAATTTCATTTAGTGAAACCGTTACCTCAAACCAGTTATTCGGAACCTTAGAAGCTGGGGACAAAAGATGGTCCATTATATCCCTGTTATCCAGAAGAACAGTACATTGCAAGAATAAGTTTACTTAAAATCATCCAAGTTACTCAATTGTCACATAAGATTGTACGCCGCTAGTTGCTTCAAGTTACTATTGTATTGAATCACACAACAAATTCTTACCCCATCTCTTTTTGTCCAGGGGAAACTGCATGTTGAAGGCAGGCTGACCAATGAGTTGACTCATTCATCAGCTTATTTTTCAACTTGTCACCAAAAGATGAGGCAGCTTCAGAGATTCCATGAGTCGGTGAATCCCAAATTGGATCCAAGAATTTATAGAAACACTCAAGCTGACTCTTATATCTGCATAAAAAAAACCAAATTATAAATGTTATTAAAGCAGCAAGATTAGACCATTATAACCAAATCAAAACCAAGCAGAGAATAAGATCTAGCACTTCCAATCACATACCTTCCCAAACAATTTCCAATAGAAGATGCACACATAGTTTGCGTCTAAGATAATATGTAAACGTCAATATAAGCCTGAAGTTTCATTTCGTAAATGTTTTATGCAGCAATTGAATTGTCTGTTTTTCAGTCCGGTAATTACCATAGCTCGTCTTATACAAAAGCATTTTAAACCAATGTATCGTAAGTGGTAATCCTACATCATTCAATTTCCAAGATACAAGTGATCATACAACAATTTATACCTAAATTTTGAACAAATTGTTATAATTTTCAAGCTACTAGAACAAATCCTAAATTCAACCTACTATTGATCATACTTCATTAATTTCACACAGCACATTATCTCATTTCCTTGAACAATTTTGAAGCCACTAATGATCATATAACAACTCATCCATGTCTCTCGATCGAATATCACAATCAATTAGGATACCTAAGATAAGCAACAGCATCGCGAAAGCACAGCTTAGAGATCTCGGTACAATCAAGCTCCCCTAAAACAAGACATCCTTCATCCAAATTCGGCGTAAACGACGCTGATGACGGATCCAGCTTCATTCCATACCTCTCCAATTTCAATTCCCTATCATCATCATCATCATTCACCACATTAAAAAAAATTATAAAAAAAAAAAAAAAAAAAAAAAAAAAAAAAAAAAACACCATGCATCTCCAATTCCATACCTTTCATATCAAATCAGAGAAACACAAATATAAACAAATAAAACATATTAAGAGAGAGAAAGTACTCCTCAGCACCACCGACACGGCGGCGCTCAACAGCGGCGACCGGAAAACCACCGTAAACTGCCGTCAAACCACCACCGATTAATGCATTTATCGTAATTTCACGACTACTGAATTGAGTCCACCACATTAGAGTAGAGATGGAGAGAAGAGGGATTGAGTGGGTGTTAGGTGGATCGGCGCTTGCAGGTGCCTTCAATGGTGATGATGCAAACAATCGCGAAAAATAGAATTATGATTCCGATTATTATTCCAAAAGTTACTACATCCATTTTTTTTGGGAGGAAATTAGCAATGGATTAAGGATGGATAAGGGGATTAGTTTTGGAATTACAGTAGAATTTGTACGGAGTAGCAAATTACAGATACTATGCTTCTACCAAGTATTCTACTAGCAAGTGAGATGGGGACGGGACTGTTTTTTTTTAGTCTTAAGATTCCAAGGCTTAATTTAAGAGAGGAGTTCAGGTTACTAACAATGATAAACGAAAACTATCAATAACTATATACTAAAAGACACACTAGCAATGACACGTGTCGATTTCTGGTGTGTTCTTAGTATATTTTTTTTAATAATTAATTACTAAATTTTATTTAAGGAAGTTATATAAAAAAAAAAAAAAGGTTTGTTTTTTTTTGTCAACTATATAAATGAGCAATAATATTTACCATTTGTATGTTGATACTCAATTAATTACGGAATAATAAGAAAATATATAATCGTTTTCAAGAAGATGTATTTTGGTGGAATATATTTTAAGAATATGATCTTGATCAAATATTCCATGTTACTTCTATTTTGTTAAAGATATTAAATAATTTTTATATTTTATGCTATAAATAAATTAATTTGTCAAAAGTAATTAAAATAACGTATCGTGCATGGCACGGGACCTAACCTAGTTTATGTTTATTAAATGACACATTAAGGTCCCGTTTTTTTTAGTTGGTAGAGCATAGCACAACAGAGTAGGATTGAGCAGAACATCTCAAAAGAATAGGGCCTAACACTATTAAAAAAAAAAAGAAATGACACCTTTGTAAACCATAAAATTCAAACCTGCAATATACAAATAAAGAGGTAGAAAAATATACGGAAATAATTATTTCATTCATAATTTGTGGAACTACAACTCTCATAAATCTCTTGATTCCTCTCTCCAAGGGCTAGATTTACCGGGGTCTTATCGACTTATTCCGGTTATACCTATAATGTTTGGTAGTAGGAAGGAGATGGAGTCTTCTTATTCCATCTGAGCCTAATCAAACCCTAGAAATGTGAAAATAGTATTGTACACCCGGGTACACCATGCGCATGGTGCACCCGAAAGGCGGAAAGAACATACTGTTATTTGACAAAGAACATACCATGTATGATAAATAACATACTTATGTTTGACAAAGAACATACCTATATATGTTTGATAATATGTTCTTTTATACTTATGTTCTTTAACATATGTTGATTAAACATGTTTTTTGGGTTTCAATAATACAAAAAATGTTATTGAATTTGGCTCGTATGTTCTTTGAGGTGATGAGTTCTTTAACATATGTTGATTAAACATGTTTTTTGGGTTTCAATAATACAAAATATGTTCTTTGAATTTGGCTCGTATGTTCTTTGAGGTAATGAGTTCTTTAACGTATATTCTTTAACGTATGTTCTTTATTATGTTATTTTGAATTTTGAAATTTGAAATTTAATTTGAAAATGAATCTTAAAATTATTTTTAATTGAAAATAATTCTAGAGAGAGAAAACTAAAATTATTTTGGAAAGTTGAATTTTTGGAGAGAGGAAATACTGTTTTTGGGGAAATGATATCTTTGGTAAAGATTTTTTCTGTTAATGTGTAATTTTTCGTGAAATTTAATAAAGTTTTTATCATGTTCTTTTTGTAATGTCTTTATATTCTTTAGTTTTGCATGTTTTTTTGTTAAAAGCAAATATGTTTTTTTTCAAACACCTAAAAGATCTTTTTCGAACACCTAATGTTCTTTCGCCTTTTTTTTGTTTAATCGGGTGCACCATGCGCATGACGCACCTTGGTGCACCTAGCACAAATAACCTTTTTATATAGAGTGTCGTAGAGTATGTAGTAAACAAAATAGCTATCAAATATTATACGAGATCTTAAAGATAATATCTTATATATTTTGATATTATCTCCTAATTTACATATATTTAACACCTAAATATTAACAAAATTTCGGTGTCAACAGTGTTAAATAGGCATTCGTTTCTATAAACAGATGCCTTCTATTTCTCCTATTTTTCTCAGTGTATTCGTTTAATTCGATGACAAAGTCATTGAAAATGGTGGTGTTGGTGTTGGTGTTGGTGTTGGTGTTGGTGTTGGGTGAAGGGTCCATTGAAAATTTGAAACGGTTTGAAGAAGATGATAAAGATGGGTAGGGACTCGGAGAAAGAAGAATATTTGAAGGTGGGTGGGGAATGGGGAATGGGGATCGGAGGAAGAAGATGAAGATGAACAATGCCTTTATCGTTGTCTTGGCCATCTATGGCAATTTATTTTGATATTTTTCAGGGAGAAGAAGGTCTTCTCGTTCTTTCTCTTTAGATAACTTTTTCAACTAGGATTAATACTAGCACTGTTAGGAAAAAAAAAAGCACAAAATATCAGTCCCCGTTAGGAAAAAAAAAAAGCACAAAATATCAGTCACACCTTGAACAATAAGAGATATATTATTGTAAAATCTGCAACATAATATTTAAGGCAAAATATATGTTAAGGTTGTTGACACCGAAATTTTGTTAATTTTTAGGTGTTAAATTTAAATATACGTAAATAAGGAGATAATATAAAAAAAAAATTAAAAGATATTTATCTTCAGAATCTCGTAGAATATATGATTATTATCTTGTTAACTACTCTATGACTCTCTATATAAAAAGGGTCGTTTCTAAGGGTTTAATTAGGCTCGGATGGAATAAGTCACAAAGACCAAATCTCCACTATACTACCAAACATTGTAGGTATAACCGAAATAAGTCGATAATACCCCGGTAAATCTAGCCCTTAGGAGAGAGTAATCAAGATATCTACGAGAGTTGTAATTCCATAAATTATTAATGAAACAATTGTTTCCGTATATTTTTTCCATCAACTTTTTGGTGCAGCAGGCCACACCGTGTGGCAGGTGTTACCCGATTTATTTTGTTAGGAGTTACCCGAGTTATTCAGTCATGGGTTACTTGAGTTACTCGGTTAGGGGTTGTTTAGGGTAAAAATACCCTTGACATGTGGACCAATGCCACTGTGACACGTGTCCCTAAGCTCAGCGCTCAATGAGCCAATTAGAGCATGACACGTGTCATTCAAAGGGGAAAAACGGGCTTCAAGCCCATAACCCTAGAAACCATAAAACGGTGGGTAGCCCATCTACTTAGGTTAAATAACCTAAAAGGGCACCTGTCTATAAAGACTAATAATTTACATCAGTTACGAAGGGAATAACATTATACACATACAACTTAGAGAAAGATAGTAAAACACTCCGATATTGAGGTTGTTTGAGACAACCGGATGATCACTCCTCTCGTAAGAGGAGCCTGATCCCCCTTTACATTCCGCACTTTTTACATCCGAACACTTTCTAACTTAATCGTCGGAGGCGGAACTCCCACCCCCGAAGTCTCCGTTGTTTTGTAAGTACAGGTGCGTGGATCCAGTCTTGGTGTTGTAACTCTCCCATAGGACATCCAAAAACCCCCGAAACAGGGGTTACTTGAGGGGTTCGGATATGGGTTACTCGAGGGGTTCACTCGGTCAAGGGTTACTTGAGGGGTTACTCAAGTTACTCGGTCAAGGGTTACTCGAGTTACTCGATTAGGGTTACTCAAGGGGTTACTCGTTCATGGGTTACTCGAGTTACTCGGTCAAGGGTTATTTAAGGAGTTCGGTCAGGGGTTACTCGATTAATTCGGTCAGGGGTTACTTAAGGAGTTTGGTCAAGGGTTACTTGAGGGTTCAGTCAGGGGTTACTTGAGAGGTTATTCAGTCAGGGGTTACTTAAGGGGTTACTCAGTCAAGAGTAACTCAAGTAACCCCTAACCGAGTAGCTTGAGTAACCCCGACAACTCGAGTAACCCTTGACCGAGTAACTCGAGTAACCCCGGCAACTCGAGTAATCCCTGACCGAGAAACTCGAGTAACCCTGGCAACTCGAGAAACCTCTGACCGAGTAACTCGAGTAACCCTACAGGCCGCATACAAAAAATTGTGATATTTTTCTACCTCTTTATTTGTATATTGCAGGTTTGAATTTTTATGGTTTACAAACACCTTTTTATAGAAAAATCTATGTAACAAATTTTTTTCTTTCTACTAAACCTACCTATTTAACACTAAAATAATATCAATTAGTGGTTCGTGGAGGCGGATGTACCATGGGCATGGTACCTCCGTTCCAAGAAAAAAAGCGGAAAGAACATTGTATAGAAATGTAAAGAACATTTAGCTAAGATGAAAAGAACATTTAGTTAAAGTGAAAAGAACATGTATGGAATTGCAAAGATTAAAGAACATATATCTAAAATGAAAAAAACATATTGTTAAAATGTAATGAACGTGATAATTTCCGAGCGTCTATTTTAAAAGAATATGAAGAATATAATGAAAGAACATAAGAGATAAAAAAAATAGAGCTATTAATAACAATGAACATAACACTATCTTATAAAGAACATCATCTTCAACCTTTGTCACATTAATCTCAAATTCAACATCTAGATTCATCAAATTTCAAATATGAAAATAAACAATGAATTTATGATTACAAAATATTCTATTTCAAATCTAAAATAACACAATTAATGAGAAATATATACAAAAGTTCATTCAAAATTACCTTCGACCTTTGATTAACAAATCCACATATTCTCCTTCATTATCAATCACTCCATTAACAAAACAATGATCAAAAGCACCACGAAACTCGATCTAAATGCGCAACCATCGTCTTCTATCAGTAGAATTTCTTTCTCTCTATAAATGTTCTATTTCTCTCTCTAAAATTTTTATTCCTCTCTCTAAAGAATTCAAACAAGTGAAATTAAAATATGAAGAAATTATACAAATTTCTAAATTGAGATTGGGAAATAATTACCAAAACTCTTCAATTATGGAACAAATAATTCATTTAAATATTGAAAAGCTAGATGTTCTTTACAAAATACTATTATGTTCTTTCTGTTTTTTTTTTTAAGATTGATGAAAAGATGGATGTACCAAGCTTGGTACATCTTCCTCCACCTTAAAAATTTATACTACATTAGTCTCATGCGATGCACGATTTGATCAAATAAAATTTTCTAAATTTGTTTATTTTTTCATACCAAAATTTTAAAAAAAATAATTCCGAGAACAAATAAAACATCAAATCTTAAAAAAAAATAGAGCTCATATAAAAATTGAATGATGAAAGGGATACTTGAAGAAGAAAAATTAAATTATTATTGTTAAAAAGAATAGATCGTTTTTTAGATTTTGATACTAATA